GCGCGCGCACACACACTCACACGCGCACACACACACACACACACACACACACACACACACACACACACACACACACACACACACACACACACACACACACAAGCGCCGTCTCTTGTGCAGCTCACAGCAGTCTCCACTGGTTCCACCCCGCAGGTGTGGCAGCTGGGTTTTGGCAGCGGCTTCAAGTGCAACAGCGCCGTGTGGGTCGCGCGCCGCCGCAGCGCCGCCATGCACCCCGCATGGGAGAACTTCGACCTCCAGGTGAGGCCGCCCGCGCCCCCTAGCACAGTTAGCCCCGCGCCCCCTCGCCTCGTGGTCGCCCTGCCTTCTGAATGGCTCCCCGCCGCACGTCCCAGCCGCACGCCGCGCCGCGTCCAACTGCCTGCGGCTTGAAACGCCCGCGTGGCGGTCCCGCGGCCTGCTTTCGCGCACCCTTGTGAGCACCTGGCCGCCTGAGAAACCATAAGTCCTCCCGCGCCCCCGCCCGACGCGCCCTGCTTCGTCCCAAATGCCCCGCCGCAGGGCATGCGCGACGAGTTTGCCGCCGCCGAGAAGGAGAAGGCTGCTTACCTGGCCGCAAAGGCCGCCGCGGCCGCCAAGGCCCAGTGAGCGGCGCCGAACGGCCGCCAGCCCCGGCGGCCGGCGCAGCCCCAGCGCCGTCCTGTCGGCCGGGAGAACTACGCCCCCGCCCTCAGGGGCCCATCTTGGCGCTGGGGGCCCGGCGGCGGGGGCGCCATGGCGTCCGCAGCGTGGCGGCGTTTCCGGGGCGGATTGGATTCGTCGCCCCATTCCAGATTTCATTTGCAATTGAGGCAACGCCGCAAGCCGCCACCGGCGGCGCATGGCGCGGCGCGCGCCACGCGGCAGCAGCGTGCACGCGGCGCGCGCACAGGTGCGGGCGCGACCACCCCTGCCGCCGTCTTTTTGCACACCCACACACCCACCACACGTGACCAAACTGAGTCAGTTGTTAACCGCGGCGTGCGGCTCACTTCCTGTCGCCCTCAGCCCAGCCCAGCCCAGCCCAGCGCCCTTGCGCCCGTGCGGGGCTCACACTCTTGATCACACCAAAAGGTCAATATTGCCTGGATTAGGCCAAACTCCGGCCGGCCGCCCTCACCAACCGCTGCTGCTGCCCCCAACTTTGTGACCGGCCCGGCGAAGAGGTATTCACGCAATGCTCTAGGCGCCTATGATCTGTGATTACGAGTGATCTATTGTAATTGTCACGCTTTTGGTGGGCGCCCACTCTGCAACCTCGTTCTCGTCCTGAGCCAGCTGCTGGCGCGCCGGATGACCAGCTGTTTATAATGAACGTCTGCTCAACCGCCCAGCCATTCTGTAGGGCTCAGCATGTCCCTCCTGTTCCCTGCTCCGCCCCGTTCTTGGTCAACTACACAGTTGGTTTAGGGTCGACCAAACACCGTGAACGGTCAAAGGATACAGAGCAGCGGTGGCTGGTGTGTGCGAGTGCGATGCATGTGTACGTGGGTGGTGGGTTTTGGGGTGGGGATCCTGCAGCCATGGGTTGGAGGGCGTCATGGTGGGCGGGTGCTTTGACTGCTACAGGCAGCCGGTTGCTGTGGCCACGCAACGGCAAGTACGGCTCAGCTGCCGCGATGCGCAAAGCACACTGGACGGGCACGCGTCGCCCCAAATACAGCGCGAGCAACGAACGGCGCGCAGTCAAGCGGACGGCTTGCTGGCTAGCGCAGGCACAGCGAAAGCCGAGCGGTGCAAATTTGGTTGAGGTGATGCGGCCTGGTTCGTCGGTAAGGTCTTAACGCCGCCAAAGGGCAAACAATTGGAAGGAGCACAGCAACAACTCCGAGGCAACAAACATATGGCGGCCAAAGCAGAGTTGAGAGGGCGGCGTCTTCGCCCATCCTACGAACTGCTAATCAGGCGGCGCGCTGACCGCTCATGCATGAGCGCCTATGACAGCTCCAGCTGCCGCGAGCGCCCAGATTAACCCGCTCGCAAACAGAAGCAGCTTGTCGGCCACCTGCAGGGAAGGCTCGGCGAAGAGGGCCGCAAGCAGCGCGGCGCGCCAGAGCGCGATCAGGGCATCTGCGACCCTGCGCAGGTGCCGCGCGAAAGAAGCCCGTCGCGGTGCCGGGGCCCGTGACTGCTGCTGCTGCTGCTGCTGCTGCTGCTGCTGCTGCAGCTGCTGCTGCTGCTGCTGCTGCTGCTGCTGCTGCTGCTGCTGCTGAGACTGTGGCCATCGCTCTGCTGTGCATGCAGCGATGCTCGCCGCCGCTTGCAGCGGCACGGTCGCGAAAAGCCACAGCAGCGCCGCCCGCGCCGCCGGTTGCAGCCAGAGCCGCCAAAGCAGCAGCAGCGCGGCGGCGCCGAGGCCAGCAGTCATGAGCACCGCCGCGAGCCCGCGCCGACCGGGGCCGGGCAGGCGCGCGCAGCGCGCCCTGCCCGCGCCCAGCCCCGCGGCGAGCGGGGCGGCGGCGGCGGCGGCGGCGCAGAGCGCGTCCTCGCAGGTCTGGTGCAGCTGCAGCAGCGGCGCGGCGACGAGGCCGGCGGCGCCGAGGAGGGCAGACAGCAGGACGGCGCCGCGGAGCGTGCGGGCTCCGCGGAGCGCCGACAGGCTCGAAGTCGCGCGGTGATGCTCATGACTATGTGGTTCTGGGATGGGGGCTTCCACCAGTCCCGCTGCTGTTGTGACGCCACGGGCTGCCACAGCGCCGCGCCTCTGATCAGAATTGCTGAATTCATGAGGATCGCCGCCGGGATGGAAAGACGTCCCTGTTGCGAGTGCAGCAGCAACGGACAGTGGGCTCTGGACGCGCCGCCGCAGCTGACCTCCAGTGGGCGCCGCTGCTCGCCACGCCAGGTCCAATTGGCCCATTTGGGACGAACGACACTGTTTGTGCATCGCTGTGTGCTTCAGGCCAGGGTCACCAGGCGATGTGTCAGGTGTGAAACCTTTCACTGTCAGCAGTCAGCATGCATCACCTTATGATCGCTGTTTGGCTTAGTAGTAGCCAGGGATGTACAGACATCAATGCATGCGACAGCAGTGCAGCTGAACACTCCCGCGACTTGATCAGATTGCACGCGTGGGCTTCCGGGCAGTTCACGTGGGTGCTTGTGCCAAGAGTGATGCGCGCAAGTTAGCGGGAAGCTACTCTGAACGATGCAAGGGCTACGCCAGGGCGCGCGGAGGGGCCACAATAGGGGATTAGCCACCACAGCTCGACTCGCCGTGCTCTTGGTTTGCTGCTGGGGCTTCTGCGCTCGCAATTCACAGGCGCAACCGGTGCTCGGAGACGTCGAGCTGTACGTGAGCGTCTCGGCCGAGGCGGCGGTCCAAAACGCGCTCGGCGATGCGCACTCTGGCTGTCCGCAACCTCCCTCATGCGGGGCCACAGTGCCAGCGGCGTGTCTGGCATGCAAGCACTGCGCTGACAGCGGCAGGGGCCGCAACAGAGTAGCCGAAACCAAGACGGCGCACGTGCTGACTGGGCAGCGTTGGCGAAGCCGCCGTCCGCCGCCGCTCAACTTCACCCCTTCCGCGGGCGCGATTCCGTCCCCCCGCCCCGCTGTCCAGCGCGGCCCCACGCGGTCCCCCGCCCTGCTACCCTCTCAATCAAATCCCCTCCTCTCACGCATGTCCGTGGCGCGTGCGCGACACTCGTGACATGCCCCACCCCCTCAGACCGAGGACTTCACATTCGACCCCTTCCCGGACCTGCCCGCCGATTTCGGGCCGGAAATCCCAGATGACGGCGTCGACGGTCTGCTCCTGGTGCGCCAGAGGACGCCCGTCCCATTATGATGGCGGCGCCGGCGGCCGCCGCCGCACTCGCGCCCGGAGCCGGCAGCCTGGTTGCTCGATTTCAAACCGCGCATGCACCTGGCATGCCGCGGCTCTGCTCGCAAACCCCGCGCCGCCCCCCCTGTCAGCCCGCGTCCGCCTTTCCCCCACGGCCCTGGGGCTCCTCTTCCGAGACTGTTGCCTGCTGTGGAATCTCGCCACCCCCTTGCAGATGGCCGACCCCGAGGATGCATGCGGGCAGTTCACGTTCACTGAGAGGCGGGAGACATGGGTGGCACTCATCGCCCGCGCACAGCGGCCGCACCCCACCAACTGCACGTTTGATGTCAAGGTGCGTGCATGCGCGCATCTGCATGTGTGTGTGAGAGCGTGCATGTGATTTGATGCACACGTGCATGTGTTTGTGTGTGCGCGTGTGCGTGCATGCGTGCTGTTTGGGGTGTCGTGGGGTGTCGTGGGGTGTTGTGCAGATGCGCATGATTGGTAGCGCAGTGTTTTGGTGCTCGCACGTGCATTCGCGCACTGCCGTGCATTATTTGGGTGAGCTGATCGCGACGCGCGGTGCGACCGGAGGGCCCACGTCACTGGCTCGACCCCCGGCCACTGCACCCCTAGAGAGCCTCGCTGCCCCCTCCCCGATGACTCTCTCTCTCACACACACACAACACACACACACAACACACACCACACACACACTTCCCCTGCCGCCGGCCCACGCCGCAGGTCCGCAACGCCGAGCGTGCCGGCGCAGCGGCCGCCATTGTGTTTGACGACGCCTACGAGGCCCTCATCATCATGTCAAAGCCCCTGGGCAACCCCGACCCCGGGATCCCCTCGGTGTTTGTGTCGGCAAAGGCGGGGCTGGTGATGAGGAAGCTTCTCGTGCCGGGGCAGACGCGCGTGCGGCTGACGCCGGTGGGTGGTGGCGCGTGGCCAGAGCGCCACCCCTCGGGGTCGCCCTTAGTGGATCCTTTATCCGTGGATTTTTCTGACAGGGATCGGGCGGGGGTATGGTTGTGCTGCATCGATGGCAGTCGTGATAGTGATGCGTTGTGGTGATCAGGGGCCCGGATACGGCGGGGGGGTCTCCACTGGGTTTGCTGGGTGTCGAGGCAGTGGGGAACACAACAGACTGAGCCCAGCCCTGCAGTGGCGATCCCCCCAGGGCATGACCCTGCAAGCCAGCGCTGCGCGCGCGCTGTCGCGTGCCTGCCGCCCTGTGCGCAGGTTCTCAGCACCTTCTCATCTGCCGCGGGCCCTTCTGTGCTGCCCCAGCACGGCAGCCCCTCACCCCTGCCCCTCAGCAAACTCTGCTCTGCCTCACCTCCCCC